CTTGACTGCCCACTTGAATGGAGAGTTTTTCTGCTAAGTCCCATTGGTTATTTGGTTCATGCCCTATATAGCAGAGGAGATCCTGTGGCCAAAGTCACACAGCTGGCCAGGGACAAGTTGAGGCTAGGGTGGACTTCCCAGGGTACACCCCCTTCCTCTTTCCAACACTGCTCTCCCCTCACCAGGCTGCAGAGAGAGTAACATTCCCTTGTAACCATGATGGCTTGTGTTTTACTCCCAGATTTTTGTACCTGCTGATTCTGTGATGTCAAATTACCGACCCCCCTGAGTTGTCATAAATCTATTTGTAAAATACAGATTATCACAACAACTGTTCAGGGTTATTGGGAAGACAGGGATGACGTAAAACATGTCCAGCCAGCCTGGTCACTTCACAGCTGACCGATACTATTTGCCTTTGTCCTTCCCTCAAAATGCTCCCTGGGAGGAATAAGGATGGAAACAGCTCACATTTATTGAGTGCTTACTTGGTGCCAGAAACTGGCCTAAGCACTTTCCATGTAGTAGCTCATTTATTCCTCTTTCTCTAAAGGCAAAAGTATTTTTCTTGACTCCCTCAAGCTATCCATCCTCACAACCACTACACTGCCTGGCCTAGCACCATTTCAACAGAATTTGCTGATTTTAAAGAATATGTGACTGAAACGATTTCTTGTTTTCTGTTGCTGGCTTATAGCAGCCAGTTTGCTTCGTATGACAAAAGGTGAAAAAAAAAAAAAAGCTGTTTCCTTGGTTTTTAGTACAAAGGAATAGTCCCAAATCTGAACTCAAGGTTAACTCTTAGAAGGAAGGGTAGAAAATGGAGACAGTAGTGAGTCAGGGAGATGGCAGCTGGGAGCCAGTACAGAAACAAGCCAGAGTTTTTGCAGCGAAGCTCAAAACTTTACTTGAGCCCTGCCCCCAGGTACTTATCACATCATTACATCACAACCCTTACATACAATGACATCTGGCCCATACCAGCACACCTAGGCCCGCCCTCCAGCTACCCTTGAAAAGGCCTGGAAGGCACTTACTCAATTTCATTGTTTTAACTTCTGTACTCTGTCATGTGCATACACTGCTCCCTTCCTCCAAGCTCCTCTTGTCTCCTTCCCTACCTTGGAACTCCTACTTCTCCTTTAAGAGTCCGTTCAGATGTCACCTCTTCTAGGAAGCCACCAAAGGTCCTCAACAGGATCTGGACAGTCCTTGGAGCCCACACCATAGCCCCGCACACCTCTGGGTTTGGTCACACACCTCTTTCCTCAAGGGCCCTGCAAGCTGCTGGGGGATGTGTACAAAGTCTCCTTTGATGTCAGACCCCGGGCAGTGCATGCAGAGCTTGGCACACAGGTGACGCTCATTAGATACTGGTTTATTGACCAAAGTAGGAAATGAGCATAACTCCACTCAGGTAAGTGGTCACGGTAAGATATGATAATTATATGGATAATAATTAACTGCTATCATTAGAGGCTAAAATGCTGTGTCTAGTCCTTTATCCACATTATGACAACACCTCTTGAATACTGAGGACCTGCTGCTGTCCTGGCATGTGGCGGGCAGTGCACATATGTTGTCTTCATCCCAGGCCTCAGAAACAGGACTTAGTACTGGAGGCTCAGAAAGCAAAGGGCCTGCCCAAGCCACGTGGCTAGGAAGGGGCAGAGCCAAAGCCCCAAGCTGAGGTTTGCCGGACAATTTCCCCTGAAGCATGCTGTCCCTTGCTCCTTGACCAGCCTCTGTTTGTCCCTATTTCCAACGCTTTGGTTCTTCTGAGACCTCAATGCCTGCAGGCCTCAGCCTCACAGCTCCGCTTCCTGCCTGGTTATAGGGAAGGATGAGTTCCTCCTCCCCAGGAAACTTGGAAGGGCCAGAGTGTGCAGAGCCAGGTCCTGCCGGGGAAACAACGCAGGCATTCAGGAGCAGGAGCCACTTTGTCTGACTGCTGAGCGATTAACCCCTGCCCAGCCACAGCACGCATGAGACTGGCATGGAGGCAGCTGGCACCTCCCACCAGGTCTCCCCTGGAGCCCCGTCCCTCACCTAGTACACTAGCTCTCTTAGGACTTGGCAATCACAAGTGTGGTGAGTGCTTGGCGTCCTGCTCTCCATTGTGTGTACTCTGTCCCTGAAAGGAACAAGTGCCCACAAATTGCCTGATTCTTATTGGAAATGCATTTCATTGGTGTTCTCTAGGTGAATCAAGCCAAGAGCCTTTGTTTGTGTGAGCCAAGACAACAGGAAATTTGGATGGTACTTGATAAAGGTATTCATTCCTCAGACCTTTCCTGAACTCTTATTATGTATCAAGTTTTGTGCTGGGTGCTGGAGACAGCAGGAAATCAGACAGGATTCTTGCCCTGGTCTGAAGGGGGAATAAGCTCAGTGCAATAGGTATGACAACATCACACATAGGAGGAGCCACACCTAAACGGGGGAGTAGAAGGAGAAAATGGTGAGACATCAGGTGTTTGGTGATATGCGGTGGGGCTGAGGGGTGAGCAGGGAGGGCTCCAAAGCAGAAGAAACCTGAGTGTGGTGCATATAGATCATTTTTATCTCTAATAGATGGATTAGAAAACCAAACAACAGAGAGATGAAGTCATTTACTCAAGGGTATACAGTAAGGAGACTAAGGATCTGAGCACACTCAGCACAGCCTGAGAGCTCACGGTCTTAGCCACTATGCCGTAGTGCCACTCCCTCCGAAAAGCAAAGGTCTGAGGCAGAGCAGTGTGGTTAGAGGAAGGTATTCTCATGGGCCTTTCTGTGTATGTCAGGGGCTCCCGAGACACAGTTTCTGGCTTCTACAGAGAGAGCGATGAAATCTTTCATTGAAAGACCTGGGAAAAACCTATAACAAGCCTTGCGAAGAGGTTGGAAACTCCCAGGACAGGGGCCCTGATAGCCACTAGGGATCACATGGAGCCTGCAGGAACACAAACTTTTGCAGAGGGAAGTAATTCCTTTGCTTGGGTGGGTGTGGCTGGCAAGCTCTTCAGTGGCAGGGAGGCAGGGTACAGGGAGGCAAGAGAAAGCTGTACCCCAATGGGAAAGACCCTTATTCACTTCAACTCCTTAACTATTGACGCTGCAAGGAGGTTGAAGTCAGGTAGCTCCCGAAGGTGTTATGTCCTCAGCATGCAGAAGTGGGTTAAGCCCTGAACATGTAGCTAAGGCTCTGATTGTCTGGACCACTCTAAAGTGTGGCTCCACTTTCCACTCTCCCAGCTTCTAGGAAGGCTAGGACATTCAGGTGGAGGAGGCAGAACAAGACATGCCCAAGATCAGAGAAGAAGAGTTACACGTGGCTTCTGTGTAGTGCATTTTTGTGTGATGCAGAGTTAGACTTTGAACTTGCTGGCTTTGAGCAATGGACAGCTCTGTAGAACCTCCCTGGCCTCATTTTAAAAATGGGAATACAACTCATTGCTAACTCACGGCTGAGGTAATATCAAATGTAAATACTGGCTGTTAGAATGCAATGCTACATTGTAAAACAATTGTCAGATAGTAGAATTACCTTCGATAAGTTGTGCTGTACAACTTGGAGCTGTTACAACCTTGAATTTCAATCTCACTCTAGAAATTGCTAATTAGTGGCCAGTCAAACAAGTACAGACAAGAGATTGCTACCCTCCTTGCTTTGCCTTTGTGGAACTCAGAATTGTACTTAAGAGTTCAGGAAGAAGTCGCTTAGAAGCACATTTCTTGCTTGGCAAGGCAGGGAACCACCAGGTGGGCATTCTTTAAAAACCAAATGAAAATCCTAGAAAATAAGGAATGTTTTAGGGCTGGATAACTCAGGGCCACTCCATACATAGGCTTAAAGCAAAGCCAGTAAGGTAAGACTAAAGCCAGGGAGAGTGTCCTAGATAAGGAATAACCCAATCAGCCAATCAGAGATCTGGCCTGACCAGCAACATTGCCAACACCTGTTGGAACTATGGCATTTCTCTGCCATCCCAGAAAAAGCTTTATTAGAAACCAGATGATCTGGCATGAGGAATCATGGTTGCCAAAATCACCTTCAAAGCACTGCCGATACACACACACACACACACACACACACACACACACTCCAACCTCCCCTGCGCAAGTCCACCTCAGGGGCACTTTTACACATGTAAGGCTGCAAAGGCTTGTGCCATGCTGGGGCCTGGCACCAGAACTCCTCCAAGACAGACGGCACAAGGCAGATACCTTCTGTCGGACAGCTGCGTTCTCCATACCCACAGCGTGGTGGAATCAGCACAGCAAATGGCTTACAAACCTGGAGCACAGCTTCCCTTGGCCCTGGCTGTTTTGCATCCACATCCCTGCCACGCTGCTTTCCCAACTGTAGGGCATTCCTCCAGACCAGAAGACTGACATTCAAACCTCACCAGAAAAGGAGGCCAATGGAAGGGCCTGTTCCCATCAAGACTCCAGCACTTTTACAAGGCTGCTGCTTCCCCCACCAAACAGGCTACAGCTTCAGTGCTGGATAATATTCTGGGAGTTTGCTCCTAGATTTAAGTGTTTTGGAACTCTAAAGTTACAGGTTGCTTAGGATCCTGAGTTTGCTTAGGGACTCCGCATGATTCTCCTGATGGCCCATTTTGGAAAAGGTTCCCATTGGGTTTCCCGAAGACAACAAGCCTGTCCTGCAGACATCCCTACTCCCAGGCGCAGAGCAGGAGCTTGGAGTCCTGTAGACCTGGGTATGAGGTCAGACAGGAGGGAAACAGTATTCACAGAAAGGGACATAAAACTAGTTGAGAGTTCGGAGGCTGACACTGGAAGGAGAGGCACCGAATCGAGCTGGGACTGGGTGAGGTGACTCCTCCTACAGTTAAGTTCAACTTCCCCAACCTGGGGAATTCTCAAGGGACCCAAGAGAGGATGTCCCCTTGGCACCAGGAGGTGGGGGAGCCTAGTGTCTAGCCCCTAGGAGCACTCCAGGGAAGTTGGGGATCGACGGGAGGGCGGGCTACGCGCGGAGGGCAACTCACAGAGGAGAAGTTGTGCGGGCCGCAGAGCTCGCCGCGGTACTTGCAGGAGAGCAGCATGTCCTCCAGCTGGTGGCCCAGACGGTCCATGAAGGCGGCGCTGATGCCCTCGAAGTGGCGCGGGGGCAGGAAGAGCCGGAAGTCGGCCAGCTTGCGGAACCACTGGCGGCGTGGCTCGTCGCCCCGCAGCAGCTCGCTGACCAGCGGGCGCGCCGTGCGGTTGGGTAGCAGCAGCCCGAGCCAGTGGCCAGCGTAGTAGAGGTCCCCCTTGGAGAGGCGCGGAAAGCGTAGCGGGTTGTTGTTGCACACGGTGACGGCGGGGAAGGGCAGCTGGCGGCTCCACTCGCGGTGCACTCGCGTGTGCGACGGGAAGCTGAGCCAGTACAGCAGGCGGTTCGAGGACCAGGACAGCAGTAAGCCGAGAGACGTGCAGAAGGCCAGCACCCACAGCGCCCGCCGCTGGAAGGAGCCCCCCGCCGCCGTGCGCCCGGCGCACATGTGCCGCAGCCCGTGCAGTTTAGCGCGGCTCAGAGACGGCCGCCCCCTGCGGGCGACCCCCGGCCCCTGCAGC